ATTACATTGTTTGCCATAATATGCAAATTAGTTACTCATAATGTAAAAATAAACACAAGAAATTGTCTTTGAATATATCACATGATTCTTTGAATAAAGATGTAGAAAATAATTTAATCTTGCACCAAGATCTTCTCCCTCTTCCAATCAATGTTTCAAATTTGAATTCCTCGATGATTTCTTTCCTTGAACTGCGTTCTTTAATCTCTCGCTGTATTCTCTTTTTCTCAATGTATCTTCTTCCCAAAAGTGCCAAGTAATGTCCCTCTTATAGTCATCTCCACAATTGTATGAATATAGAGTCCTTATGGGTTTCAAAACAGGCCAAAAAAATTAAAAAAACTTACGTTTATAGGCGATGCCACAGCGCCACGTCCAAAAACCACGTGGCGCTGCGTTTCCATACCTCCGTCCACTTCAACTATATGGCACTTGATAAGTGTATTTTTTATACTTATGTAGGCCATTATATTAGAGTATTTGTTAGTGGTTTAAATGAGATATAACTTAATTTTGTGTTAATTATGTTTGTTAGGTCGAACTCAATGAAAATTGGTGGATTTGGAAGAAATGAACGAAAAACGTGCAAAAACGAATGAAATCCAAAGTTTGGGAACTAAAGTGTAAACATACAATAGTTGATTCGGAGCACAAAACGATGACCGAAGATCATTTAGGATCAATTGGAGGTCAAACGAGTGAAATATAGTGGAAGTATTTTCACAAATCAATTTCCAACTGAATAAGTTATGCTTCTAATTTTTAGTTTCAACTTGAAACCCATATTTCAGAAAGAAAATGTTCGAATTGGAAAAGTTGTATCTCTCAAATGATTGTAGCTCTTTAAATTACCTTTCCAACTCATTTTGAATCAACTCAATCGAATACCTATAGAAAAAGTTATGACCAAAATATCAAAAACTGCTCAAGGATGAACTTGCGAGCGCATGGCACCCTATTTTCCCCAACCCGAGAGCTATTAGGTTCTAAAGTGCGTGCACGGTACTTATGCTGGTGCTCGAGCATGGGCCGTTTCTGCAAGCAAATCTTTAGTATCCTTTCGCGATTCAAACTTTTTTGGAAACCAAATTAGACGCTATTTTGACCCACTTTATTGCTCTTATGAATAGAGAACGAGAGATACACATGAAAAAAACATCTATTGCCTCTTCATACACAATAGTTTTATCAAATTCATCAAGAACAATTGGCCAATTGCTATATTTTGATAGAGGAGATCAAACCATAGTAATGAATTAAAGGTCAATTATATCAAAATTTTGAAGAATTCAACATTGGGCGTGAAGATCAAAATATTTTGATTTATTTCATGATCCGGGTAATATTTTTCTATTATTCTTTTTGTAATTCATATATTAACATGTTATGCTAGATCATTTTATTTATTTGATGAAGATGAACCCTATTATTTATTTGTTTTATTCAAGACTAGTATTTTAGTTTATTTCTTGCGTTTCTAGATTAATTATGCATATTAGTTTATTTCTTGCGTTTCTTGATTAATTTTGCATAGTCATTGCATTATTTAATTGATTGGCCAACAATTAGATAATTAGTTGCTTGTTATAGTATTGGAAGACTCACAATGAGTTTGGAACGCGGCAAAATTAACATATGTGCAATAAATATTAGGAATACATTTATCACATGTGCAATTATATAGATGATCTAAACTTTAATGCATTATAGTCATTCAAATTCGGGTTATGAATATATTTAGGTCATGATTATGATATATTTAATTTGTCTTGAAAAAGAAAATTATATATCATAGTTTTATCGATTGTTAATAACGCATGAACGGAACTAGATTACAAATCAAGAATTGAAATAGATAGCAACATGTGGATTCGAGATCCAACACAATCACCCATAAATTGATAAAAATCACAATTTTACAACTTTCTTAGATTAATTAAATATAAAATAAAATCAAACTTTCTTTTGTTTACATAATTCGAATCCCATAAAAAGTTAACAAACTTGAATTAAATTTATTCCCCGTAGGACGATACTCTCAACTCATCAATTATATTACTTGTCAACTATCCCGTACGCTTGCAGGTTTTGCACGAATAATGTTGTGGAGCCACACCTCTGATGGTTGGCTTTCGTGGTGCCAGGGTGCCACTCTTCTTTCCTCGATATCCCGACTTGACTATTTTGCCATTTGTTCGCTATTTTGTTTTTTTTCCTCAAATTATTCATCAAACATAAAGTTTTACATACAAAATACAATATAACATTAATTACGTAGAATTTTATTCAAAAGATAATAAAATATCATCGTTTAGGATTTCGAATAAGTGTAGAAACTACACTTATCACAGTATTATCATTCTCTTCGAATAAAAATCTCCATCCCACCTATCGCCTGCAATTAAAACTATCTCCAATCACTTTGGCATGGGATTGGCAATGAAGAATAACTCCTTTTATAATTACTTTTATTCAGTTGAAGATAAGAATAAAATTGTGTGTTTAATACAATTTAAGATTTTTAATTAAAGGGAAGAATAAAATTGTTCACTAGGACGTAAGTGCTGCTAGAATAAAAAACTAATGAGGTAAATGATTATGCTATATGTAAATAATTGTTTGCAAACACATGATATGATTGTTTTAGAATTTCTTCAACCAAATAAAAAAAATAAAATTTTCATACTTTTTTTGACACCTCATTTGTATGTATATCATTATATAACTCTATTATGTAAGATAGCATTATTCATTATCTAAATGCTCTATTTTGAAGAATGAGGACCAAGGTGCAATATTTGTTGAAGAGTGGAGACTGCCTATGCTATTTTCCTTTTCTAATTTCAGATTTTTAATTTTTATAAGCAAGCCCTCACCCAATTCCTCTCTCTCTCTCTCTGGATTTCGGCTCCCAATTTCACACCCAGGTACAGATCATTTGCAAGACACCCCACCCTACCCCACGCAACCACCCCCCATCATCGCCCAGACCCGCCGCACCAAATCCATCGCCAACCCACGTTCCTCTTGCTCCCCAATTTCACCTCCACTGATTTATGGGTTCTTATAATAATGATAATCCATTTCGCATCTCTGCATAATCACGTGTTCACATATTGTTAGATGTGGTTGTAGTTGGTTTTTTTTTCAATAACAATTTTGGGTTTTGGCTTATGGGTTTAGTGCAGAAAGTGAGAATGGACGTAAATTCGATGTTTCATGTGGCGGCGATAGCATGCACGGCGTGAATACGTGGTGGACCTGGTGGTGGAGTTGAGTTAATTAGGCGTAGCTGCTGCCGTTGATTTAGGAGGTTGCCAAGATCTAGAGTACAGATGCCGAATCAGACTGTTAAGGTGAATAGGGACACAATTGCGGCATGCATGACATGCCCTCTTTGCGATAAGCTCTTCCGCGATGCCACCACTATTATCGAATGTCTACATACGTGTGAGTTGCCTCTCTTGTGCTGTAATTGTTTGCAATCCTATCATTTGTTTAACTACTTTGGTCCCTATATATATTGCCATTTAGTCGAATTTTGAATTTTTCTCAGTTAACGATTTGAGTTTGCTTTATTTTTGCGTTATGGAATCTGGCATTTGTCGCATGGATTGCGTGCTATATATATGGGATTTTTTTTTTTCTGTTTTCATGGATCTTTGGTAATTTTCATTACAAATATGTTTGTACGTTTCTCACTCGTGTGTCCATCTGTGTGGACTTTTTGCATATTTGTATTTTCAGTTTGAGATTACAAGACACATTTTCCATTTTATTCTTGTGTTGTTAACCATTACCTGAAGCTCCTTGCCTAGTGATTTTCCCCCTGAAAAACTCTACATTAGACTTGAGCTAGATATTGCTATTCCAATTTGATTTTTATTCTCGTTTAAGTTTTCTGAGCTTCAAGATTTTTATTTTCACGTTTTCATTGGCATCTTCGAATTTTTTGGTTGAGGAATCTAATATTCTTGTTTCTGAATACCATTCAGTTTGCAGGAAATGCATATATGAGAAGCTTTCAGATGAGGAATTGGAATGCTGTCCAATATGCAATATTGATTTAGGATGTGTTCCAGTTGAGAAGTTGAGGTCTGATACTTCATCTAACTTCACATCACGTTCTTACCACCTCTCTCTCTAGTGCAAGATAACAAAGAAGTCATTCGCTTAAACAAAAGGAAATAAATCAATAATAATTCATGTATATTTCTATCTGATCATTTTGATGATACCGTTTAAACACTCATCTGTATAGTACTTAAAAAGGCCACCTTGGATACTGGGAACTCTCACTGAGTGGAACTATTCTTTAGTATCTTTTTTGGTTCACAACCTTTTTTCCGATTTGTCGGTTTTGCAACTCTAAGCTATTTGCTCATAGGGTAAAACATGGAATTGGTGCGTTAGCATGCTTCGACATGAGCTCAGATTCCGCGAATAAACCGAAATTTGGAACTCATATTATGTTGAAAGTACCGCACATCCTTCTGTTGATTCAATGCGCAGGCAATTCAACTTCAGGCGTATTTAAACTCGGTATTTTAATATTGACAGTTCTAAAGTTTTGCAAAAGGAAGAATAAGGAAAAAAAAAGTAATATTAAGACATTGATTTAGGTGTACCAAGTAAAAAAATTACCCAAGCTCTGGGTTAATTGATGTTTCTTTAGTATTTAGTAAGAATTGGTATTTACATATACTGGTATTGAATTTCTGGGAAGCAGGCTTATCATTGTCCTCATATAGGGTTGAGACTATAGAGTATTTCTCTCAGTATAGATCAGGCGGATATTCATAAATCTCATAAAACTCTCAGCATTTGATGTGGAGTATTCCTGGGCTTGTTAATGATAAGATTTTGTGCTTTTTTTTTTAATGTGCACACAAGCACATTAATGTATGCAAATTGACATTCCGAAAGATCAGAATTTTTTTATTAATCATGTCTATCGATATTTAATTATTAGGCCGGATCATAATTTGCAAGATGTAAGGACTAAGATATTCCCTTACAAGAGGAGAAAGGTGCAGGCACCTGAAGTGGTGACTCCAGTTACATTACCGGCAAAGAGAAAGGAAAGATCTCTCTCATCATTGGTGGTCGGTACTCCCAGGGTATCGATACAGAGTGGCATGACTGGAAGAAGATCAAAGTCTGTTGCAAGGAAAGCATCCAGAGGTTCCAGTTTTACCATAGAGAAACCTCTTAAGAAAGATGAAGACTCCGTGGAAGACCATCCTGAGAGCTCTAGCTCACCCGAGACTTTGAACAAATTCTCTCAGAATAACAGGAAGGTGAGGAATATATTTCTGAAGCTTGACAGATATTGTCTCATTCATAGGCTGCTTCCATATGCTTTATTCTACCTGCCCTGTCATATATCCACAGACACCACTCCTCATGCTTAATGACATTCCTTTTGCAGAACTCCCCTGCTGTCCAGCCATCTAGCCACACTACACCAGATAGTGGAAGAGATTGTGGTTCTGTACCATGGGAAGGGAAAGGTGATCCTTGGAAACCTTTAAATTGTTTGGTGGAGGCTGCAAATAGGAGTAAGTCTTCAAAATTTACCTCACACGGATCTTCTGCCAAATCAGAAGCTCTACGATCCCAAGACAATGAAGCACATGTCCGTAAAACCAAAAGTAAAGAACATGGACAGAAATCAATACTTCAAGATGGGAAGAACAGCGGTGACCGTTCCCCTCCAGAGTCAGTAAAACCTAAAAAATTGCGCAAAATCCGCCAGAAAAAGGCTCAGAGTTCTAGGGAATTCAGGATCTCACCCCAGGCTGTGCTTGATGCTATCAGTACTAAAGGTGAAAGAAGAAACAACCCAATATGGTTCTCATTGGTGGCTGCGGACAACCAGTATGAATTTACTTCATCTCTCTCACGATTAGATATTCTGAAGTGACTGAATGTGGTTATGTGTTCCATCTACCTATCCATATTATCTAATTACTGTATTATCTTTTCAGGGATGGAGATCCACCCTTGCCTCAGATTTCTGCAAGTTACCTGAGAATAAAGTGAGTTCTCATTAGCTTCCTTTCATTTGACTGTTTAATGAACATTTTATTTGATCAAATAATGTATATTTAGAGATGTTGCTTTCTACAGAAAAATCTGAAGTTTCGTACACGATGTAGTTACTTTTGACATCAATAAAACTAACCAATTAAAAACAGTACCACGTGTTTTTAGGGTTTTAAGTATATATGCAGTGTCCCTACCGACATTCTATCGAATACTTTTCCTACTATATTGTGCACTTGTTACATTATCCTCTTCTCTTTTCTGGTCTCTTTTGCTCCGCAATGAGATAGTTGTTGACTGCAGTGAACTCATGCAAACACGGGATATTTATACCATAATGCCTTTATGGCAGTTGTAAAGCAAATTACACACTACCATTAAATGGCCTTTGTTCTTGTACAAAGTATGCGAAGGCTCCAACAATCACATTAGCATGCACATCTGCTGGTTACTTTATGTTAGCGTGAGTATGGTAATAAAATTAGCTTCTTCCTAGATTTTATGGCCTGGTTTTGTTTTGATTAAAAGTAAGTTATTGAATTTTTATTTATCCTTGGTGATAATTAAAGCCCTTTTGGTGTTGAGTCCGATCTGATTGTATCGCAAATCAGCAAAGTCATACTTGATAGCTTTGATGATCCATGCACTATATTCCGGGGAGCTTATTGCTTGACGGTAGCTTTGTAGCGATATGTTGGAGTACTTGGTGTAAAAGCTTACGCTAATAGAGAGGGCGTCGGGCGACATAATTTTCATTTAAATATTTCTTCAGCACCCCCCCCCCCACCCCCCCCACACACACACACACATATGTAGACAAAATTTACTTTTTCCCGTCAAAGTGTGACACATTCACAAATTATTAAATAGGTGGCAATGAGACTTGTACTCACAAGCTTTGCACGTTGTGATATCATACTGTGATGAACTACTTGATCTAATAGGTTAAGCTATTAAAGAGGACCACATTTATATAATTTGTATCTTGTCTTCAACAGGATTCAACTTAAAAAATCTAGTTTCCACTGGTGAATCCTTCCGAACTAAATTATTATGTGTTTCTAGTTACTCTCAAGTGAAGCGATGCAGAAATTAGTTTGGGTGAAAAAACGAAGAAAAATGAAAAAAAGCATCATCTAAGTTATAGTGATGCCTTTGCTTTCTATTCTTTTATTTTGTTGGAGTTTAGTTCCACTCTTATTATTACACGTAATGGATGTTATTACTGTTATTTTTGTTTTTTTCGAATGCGTCTATTATTGATATCATTGCCATTGTGTGGTGCAAAATAAATCTTTTTCCCCATAAGGGTCCCAGTGTCCACGAGTTTTTCCAAGATATATTGTAGCTTCCCCCTAAAATTTTCAAGTGTTAGTTTCATGCAATTTTAACACGAGCAACTGCTTGTTCACTATATGTTGCTACTTGGTTGTTCATGTTATAAGTAAACTGCCTTCATAGTTGCTCTCTGATTTATTTCAATTGCTTTGTGTTAAATATTTAGCATGATAATCTGTAAACGTCCCAGAGTATCACTTTTGGAATCAACTTCTACTAGAGCTCACACTTTAAAACATGATGCTTAGAGATAACTGTTTGTAAGTTATATTTGATCTAGGTTACTGGAAGCTAAACAAATACTAAAATATGAGTTGTATTGTATTTGTGTGCTGTTGAAGGATATCTCTATTAGAACTGGTATCAAAGTCACACTTGGATTTCTTTGGAATCTTACGTGAGTTTAAATCTCTTTTTAGTTTCACAGATATGATTTTGTGACAGATGAGTCTCCCTTGGTGATGCAGTGGAAAAAGAAAAAAGTCAACACACTCCAGAAACCATTTTTATTTGAATATTGGATATTTGGGAGTCAAATATTCGTTGATTCTAACAAAGAATACCAAAAATTCGACAAGATGAAAAAACTTTCAATTTTATCCAATTATCAACCAACAAAAAAAGTCAACTTATAATCCGTTTAAATAGAAAACCTAGATAAGAAAAAAAAATCCTTAACTTGCAGAATGACGCAAGTGCCCTTAGTTATAAATTAAATGAAAGAAATGAAATAATAATAAGATTATGGAAGCAATTTTTGTTTTTAAAAAAATCCCTGAACTTTTTTAGCCTGTCAGGTGGCCTTTTTTTTTTTTGTGGAAAAACGTTTCTTATAGTGAATTTTTGGAGAATGTGGGGTTAAAAGTGGGTAAAAATTTTGGGTTCACGTACAAAATATTTTATTGTGTGAATGTGTGGTTGAAAATGAGTACGTAGAAAAAGAGTTTTGAAATAATGGGAGACAAAGAGGTGCTTAGTGTTCAGACTTCGTCATCTAGCCAGTCTGCGAAGTATCAAATCGTAGTTTCAGTTAAAATGCAAGGCAATCTTTCTTCATTACTGAAGAATGCACTTCCTTTCATCCTTTCATCTACCACAGGAGTTGCAATGGTGCTGGTTGCCTATTCCCAATCCCTCATGAACTTTATGCTTTTGGTGGTAATAGAATTATGCAACTCAAAACCCATATACTTCGTTATCTTGTTTTATTATATCTGAATATAATATAGGCTTGTATGTAAATAGAAATGTTCAGCCGAAAGATAAAATACCAGGAAAAAACCTTCTGCTGGTGTCATTTCATCTTCTATTTATTAGGTTCAAATGTCAAAATCCAGTTGGTAATTATGATTGTCATTAAGCTTATGTTATTTACATTCCATATTGCAATTCAGCCATAAAAGTGATGGAATGGCTTCATGCTTCCATTTCAGTTTTTTGAAAGTTTATCATCACATTGACGATAGTATTCTGTTAAGAGATAAAGCCTCTATGAGCTGCATGGTAAACTCCTATAGGATCCTATAAGATAGTTCCTTTCTTCTCCAATGCAATTCAGCACGCACATGCATAAAGAGAAGGTTGGGGTGGAGGTGTTATCTTGTGATTGAATTTATCGTCTTTTTGTGTGGAATCAAACTTCAGAATACAATGTGGTTTTCCGAGTCTTTTTATTGTCCCTCTGGATCTTGCGGATCCTTTTGCATGTTATACTGTTGTGTTCTATTGTTAAGCCCATGTTTGACGCCTATTAATTGTGGAAAACTTTATTTTGAATAGTATTCTTTTAGGAGAATGTGGTTAAAAAGTAAGGAAAAATTTTGGGTTTATGTGTAGAATATTTTATTGTGTAAACATGTGGTTGAAAATGAGTATATAGAAAAAAGAGTTTGAAAATAATGGTTGTCAAACATTGGCTAATTAAGAAATATTCTCAATTATACCTGTTTCATTTTCTCACAGGGATGGGAGCATACCTGTTTCTTTTATCCAAAAATACCTGATGAGGAAATTGGATCTTACAAGCGAAGATGAGGTAATTGAATCTAGCCCCAACTTTTATGAGCTCTGACTTCTGTTACAGATCATAATAGTTTTTGTTTAATTTAATTATTAGCAAAGTTGGGTGAGATGTGGATTTGTGTCTCGCTCTTATATGCCTATAAGGTGATATGTCTCTGTTTCTGTTCAACCGTGTATCTAGGTTTTAAAATAAAAAATAGAGAGAATAAAATCGAATAACTTCTCTCTCTCTGGCAACTTGTGCTTCCTTGGCCACCACCATAGGTTTTCTCCCTCTTACATCTACACCCGACAGAAACTACCCTCAGCCTGCCACAACTACACTGCATCACCTGTTTCCACTGTATTTCCCATGATTAACCACCATTACCCAATGCATCCCCACTTCCCAACAACTTCGAAGTTTTCATATTTGGTGATCACTCGTCACCTCAAATATTCATCTCACATACCCAACTTTGCCTATGTTTTTTGCTCATGTTTATAAACTGTTTGTAGACACACTTTTTGACCACACATTTCGAAGAACTTACAAGTACTACTACTTATCCACAACTTATTTCTATCTATTTATAATTTGAATTGTTTATAAACACTTCCCAAATATGCTATTAGCCTATGTTTGGCTCATGTTTATAAAATGTTTATACACTCGAGCCACTTTTTATCCACATATTTCGAAGGGCTACAAATACTACCTAGTTATCCACACTCATTTCTATCTATTTATGAATTAAACAACTTATAAACACTTTCCAAACATGCTTTTAGTATTGCACTATACAGCCCATCAAAAACCACCCTCCATTTACTATCAGGAATAATGGCAAACAAGGTTTTTGATAATACTATTAGGTTTGTTTTGAGTCAATTTCTTTGTAGTATTGACTTGAATGTATGATTTGGACTTTAAAATTGGAAAATATTCTTCTCTGGACTCTAGCGTCAGCACATGCGCTAGATTATTGAACTTAGACATTATTTATTTTTCTGCTGATTATTTTGTAGGTTGAAATTAAATGCATGGGCAAGTCTGTAGTTCCCACACTGCAACTCAATAATTTAGTTGATTTGTGGCTTCAAACAACTTCTTCAGAGAAAGTGTCAGCCACAATTGGTTCGTCAGCTTCGGATTTCGTAATGATATTGGCATATGCTCGCAGAGCCCCAGCCTCTTGAATGTGTTCACCTCCATTCTTTATATCTTCAATAATCTATATACATCATTTAGATATCGGTATAAGTTGCAGTGGCACTTCCTCACTGTGTATCCATAATGAGCATATGTTGTGATACCGCATTTCTTATTGCTCTTACAATTGTCATTTTACCTACCCCCCCCCCCCCCCACCCCGGGGGGGGTGTTAGAGACTCATTCTCCAGGTCAGCTTACTGGGAGCTTCTTTCTTTTCGGGAAAGAAGTTGCACGGAGGCAGATGAATCGCTCTATTGGTTCATGAACTGGCAGAGTTTTTATGCATGCTTTTGATTGGCATGCTCGATGTGTTTGTTTCATTGAATGTCTGTACATTAGTGCCTACAATGCACGTGAATTTTCATAATCTGTAGTCTATTTCTCCCATCATGTTGGACTCGTAGAATGTAATGTTTTTGTTCAAATGGCATTTTCTTTTATTTTAATAAGTTCATTGTTTGGTAGTGTTTATAAGTTGGTCTAAGCATCATTTTTAATTAGAATCCACAATTTTTATTTACATTTTAGGTCCCTTTGGTTTTGATAAAAATCAGTTTTTTTTTATTAAATTTCAATAAAAGTTGATGTAATGTGAGTTTGAAAAGTTAATAGAAATTATTGGTCCCATAAAATGTATAATTAATCTTACATTTTTTTTGGGACCTACGACTTATAAGGGCTTGTTCAATATGTCTTTTGCTTCTGCTTCCCGTAAATGATTTTTTTGAAAAAGCTACATTAATTTTTGTTTTTTGTTAAATGGCTTCTTACTTTGAAAGTGTTTTTAGAAGAAGATACAATGGATCAGCTTTCTTTAAAAGTTCTTTTAACTAAAAAAATGTTTTCATAAAATTAGCCACATGAGTCCAGAAGCAGCTTTTGAATCTTAAAAGCTCATTTTGATTTTTTAAAAATCATGTCAAACGGATTCTAAGCACTTGAAAAGCTAAACCAAGCAAGCACTAAATCATCGGTACTTGGGAGGGATATTTGCCATTGTGAGAACGATATAAGAGGAAATAGGTGATTTTGAAGTTATGATTACAATATGAACACATTTTGCATCACAAGTAGAAGTACACCAACAAAAAAATATATATATATAGTAGGTATAAAGAATATAATCGCAGTAGTAGAACAAGGAACAACATCTTCTGGTGTGATCTAGTTCCAGCCTCTTTTGCAGATGTGTCTTGTCATTGCAAATAGGGTGTCTTCAATCAACGAGCTGAGAAAATTGATTGTGCATTTGTATTAAATTCTCAAGGAGCGGGTTATAAGTTGGATCACTTGATGAATTCTGACCAACGGTCATAAAAATAACATGACGGAATTTACATTAAGTTCAACAATATAGTTTATGTAAAGCGGAATAGTAGGGCATTCGGTGCACTCAAGTTTCATTGAGTCGTTAGGTTTGAATTTGGCAAAACCATATCATCAAATAATGGAGACATGTTGTCAAGTAACCACGCGAAACACATGTAAGAGAGTGTTGTACTCATATTTCCAACAAAAAATGACCAAATTTCACCTCAGGCTACGGTTGTTGCATATCGATTCTTATAGTATAAGCTATCTTACTAAGAGCGTGTTTGAGCTATCTATATGTCAAGTTTAGAGAGGGAGTTGGTTCATATTTTTGAAACTAAAAGGACTGCTTTTTAATTACCAAATAGTACTGAGGACCTAAGAGTAATTATTCAAAATTTATTCGGTTTCAGTTCAACTGGGCACAGCAGAGTATAGGAAACGACGTCGCCTGGTCCAACAACCGGTAAAACCCCATAAATATGCAAGTATAAAACCCCAAGAGAGAGACGGTCCTCAAACCTTCACAATCTACCCAGAGATCGACGACCGGCCGGCCTCGTGTTTGTATAAGCTCGCCACAGAGAGAGAGAGAGAGAGGGGCACATATCGATCGGTAGTAGATCAGTTTAATCAGAATGGTTTACATCACATCATGGGACGATTTTGTAGAAAAATCCGTACAATTATTTCGCGCCGATCCCGAGAAAGTAAATCCTTCATTACAATTTATTCGTCTTCTCTTTGTATTGTTTTAATTGATTGTTGTTAATTTTGTGACGCAGACTCGTTATGGGATGAAATACAGGCACTGCGATGGTAAATTGGTTCTCAAAGTTACTGACGATAAAGAGGTACAAACTGCACTAATTTTTTAGGTGCAAGTACAATTTGCATGTTACTTTCTAAATATAAAGTCTACATTGTTCTTGATTTCATTGGCTATTGAAATTTTGTTGAACTCAACGAAGATGCACGGCAATTTGTTTGAATGCACTGGTTCCTCCTTGAGAAGTAGTAGGAAAAATTACAAAATAATAAAGTATATTTGTTAAACAAATATGTAAACAATTAGGCCGAGGTGCTCTATTCCTAATGCGTAAACAATCCCTCCAAGATACAATAGTCCAATTGAGGAGCTCAAACGTTCGAGCTCAAATTTCCATTGTAGAACACCTTTCCTTGCCAATAATATTCTCACAAGTAAATAGAAGAATTATTATGTGCATATGTAAATCTGAATGGAGGATGGATTTAGGAAAATGATTAAATGAAGCATACTATACGCACAAGTGTATGCAGTAAGTGGTGTGTAGCATGTACTTAGTAAGGAAAATATTGTTGATATGGAGGTATCTTTAAGTCTCCTAGATTTTATGGTTTTTACTGACATCTATTATAATGCTCTATGATTCTACTAAGACCTCACATAATGCTCCATGGCTTCTATCAATCAATGTGATCAATGATATCCCATCAACAAATGATATATGGAGGTATCTGTAAGTCTCCTAGGTTTTATGGTTTTTACTGACATCTATTATAATGCTCTATGATTCTAAGACCTCCGCATAATGCTCCATGGCTTCTATCATTCAATGCGATGAATGATATCCCATAAACAAAGGATAGTATAAAATGTAACAACAGGATGAATAATGTTTGTTATTATTATCATTCGCAGCATAGTTGGAATTGATATGCCTTATCATTATTTTCTAATTCACTGAATTGTTTTAGTTTATTGGTTTATGTAATTGGAGATGATGTGTTATTAGGCCCCTGTTTGGGCTCGATTTTAATTTTAATACATTTTTCTCTTTATTCTTTTTAACCACACATTTTTTAATAAAATAATATTACACGTAAACCTAAAATTTTTCCTTATTTTTTAACCACACATTCTCCAAAAAAATAACTATTCTAAAATACATTTTTCCCAAAATAACATTTTAATGGAGCCAAACAAGGGCTAGATAATTTTTAGTTTATAAAAGTGAATGGAATATTCCTCTGGTGAGAAAGAATAAATTTAAGCCAGTGTAATTAGTAGGATACTTGGACAACTATCCTCAGGTCTCCATTTATTTCCAAGAAAATTGGAAGGGGAAAATGGAGTTCTTAGATAATTCCACATTTCACAAATTTATCTTCTTTCTATTTTCCTTTCAAACAAAAGCAGATAACGGGAAGTAAACAATTTTGGGAAAGTTGGTTACAAATCACATCTTGAGCTTGTCCTAATTGATTACATTAAAAACTATGCTAAAAATCGTCGAATCCCATTATTTTATGGTCTGTCGTGTGTTCTCCTAATTGATTACATTTTTTTATGGGCTTTACATCAATATGTTAAGGTTTGGAATTTTGAAATGATATCCTTCTTTGAGAAACTTGCTATTTGGCTTTTACAGTACCACAAAGCATGAGCATTCTTTTGCATTTTTGGGGTCCAGAACATGACTGCTTCCATTTTACTTTGTAGTGGGGTTTAAATTAGATGATAGATGAATGGTACATCTCTTTGTAGACTATTGATTTTCTGATTTATCAATGCTTGTTGTACCTTTTGTCACAAAACAATTTATTAGAGTTAGAAAAATAGCATATTAGAAGCCAAGAAGCATCAAGCATTCACACAAATCACACCACCATTCAAACCAGACTTATGAAAACACTTAATTTATGTGGTTTGGCTATATCCAGGATGGAGACCTTTTAATGATGAAGTTTGTGTAGGGAAATTCACAAAGCTATAGTTCCTCACTGAGTTTCTGATAGACAAACTCGTTTAAAAAAGAGACGTCACAGTCGCTCTCCCAACCACCAAGCCCCCAAAAGAGCTTTCCGTGCAATCTGAAAAAACTCATGCACATAAATGAGACCTAATATTTTCTTAACATAAGATGATTGGGAGCAAGTCTACATTCATAATCTGAATTTTAAAACTTGATATCATCCAAAGCCTTAGTATGGTTAACATGAACCAGTTCTCAAAAAAGAGAACCCAAAAGTAAAGGCAGATTATCTGCCAATGGATCTACGACCAAGTGTTAGCCAGTGGGTTTATTTTCAATGGCAAATGAATCACAAAGATCTTTCAATTGACTGTTTGGATATTTTGTGCATGTCTCCAATACAGAAAATGAAACTTGTATTGATTCCTCAGACCATCGGCTAAGACTGGACTCATGGTAGCAAACCTGAAGTTTCATGGCAGAATCACCATCTTCTTTTCGTATCACATTATATTTATGCGTCTTCATGAGTTAATTTGTTTCTCTGTTGAACCAAAAAATTGAAACAATCTGCCCCGTCGATAGAAGTTCTCAACATGCTAGTCGATTGAGGGATTGAGCATTATTCTATTTCTGGTTCTCTGTGAGATAATGACTCCATTATAAGTAAATTGTGAATTTTTGTTTTGGAATGTGGTTACTGTGTAGGTGCATTTTTACTGCCAAACACATTTTTAGTTGTCTGTGATCTCCATTGCTTCTGCTTAGGGCTCCATAATTGTTGGAGATCTATCCTATACACAATGTTTGTCATTAATCCAAATAATGGTCTTCTCTTGCTTAGCATCCTCTATTAAGTGTTGAAGGGTTGGAATATATGGTTTAAAGGGCTGTAGAAAATTTCCTGTTGCCCGCTCTTGCCAAAATGAATAAGTCTAAGCATAGCATTAATGATTTGTTGATATAATGGCATTCTTTTCCTTGGAGTCCTCTATTCTAAGTTTGAAGTACAAAGTTTACCACCAAATGCTCTGTTGATTGTCCTTGATTAGCTCCTTAATTCTATGCATAGCCCAATCGTTTAGTACATATGTTAATTTGATGCAGTTTATGATTAGTTCCTCAAGAATTGGAATCACAATCCCAACCGGTATGGTGCTTTAGTTGGTTATTTTTCACTTTCCTTGCTTAGTTCCTTAATTCTACACGTCCCAGTCATATAGCATGTTGAATGTTCTGGCAGGTGATATTTGTTCATTTTTCTCCAATGTTTTCAAAACCGGACCGGACTGACCGGGAAACTTGTGAAACAGTCTAGCGACTGGTTTGGTTGTGGCCTGGTAAACGGATGTAAAAAAACCGGTAAAATCCAGTATAACATATAATCATATATTGGGCATTCTTTAATTGGAGCCCAAGGACAGGTTGGGGGTAGGGCTGTGAGTGTAGGGACAGATTTTGTGGCGCTAATATTTCTTTATAGTTTCAATATCTTTATGGCCCTTATTCACACTCTTTTGACACATGACAATATGACATGGATGTAGTAGGAAGGATTTTCCCCTTTAGAAAATAGATAGGACCATAGCAGTAGGATTAAAGGATATTTTAAATATAGTTAAGACGGAGTTAGCATCAGTATTGAGTTACTAGCTGAATATTTGCCAATGGATACTAGCTAACATACTGTACTCATTCACGGTTTTAGAAAATTTCCTTATGTTATTTGAGAATAAAAGTGTGCTCAGTTTGAACTAAAAGAATGGTTAATGGTGTTTGGGTAAGCTACCCCACTATAGTCGGTGACTTCTATTCAGGTTTGTCTTCTTTGTAAATATTGACTAGAATCAGGAAAGAACAGTCGAACGGGTTATAAACCTCTTTACCCTATCTTTCATCTTTGTGCATTTGATATCACAACTTTTAGGTGTATAAGATGATTATTTCTGCAACTCATTTGGGAGTTACTGTTAGCTTCGTACACAATGTCTCTTAATGTAGCTTGAAATTTAGCTGATGCAAACTGGAAATATCTAATATAATGGTTCATTTTCTTTCTTTTATTAGTGTATCAAGTTTAAGACTGACCAAGCTCAGGATGCTAAAAAGATGGAAAAACTGAATAACATATTCTTCACTCTGATGGCTCGCGGACCTGAAGGTAACGTCTTTTCTCGAGATTATATCACAAGTCACAATTAATCTACCCCATGTAAATGAGTCCCTTTTTTATTTATTTATAGTAAATTCTTGTGTATTCCCTGTTCTTTGATGCAATATCAAATATTGGTGTAAACTTGCTTTTCGAATAAGTAACTTTGGCTTTCTTTGTTCTGCAGTGGATATATCAGAAGTAAGCGGGAAAGATCAAGTAGAAGCACAACCTGCCAAAAAGGGTAGGGGAAGGAAACAATAGTATAGCTGCTTCATGATTTGTATGGATTTTGGACAAAATCACAATTGTCAAGGGAATTATTTAAAACTAACTTTGCTTTTATAATCCATTGGATTCTGGTAGCAAAGGTTTTTTGCACTACTTCTGTGCTAGATTCTTCGTTTTATACCAAATTTCTGTTTTTTTTTTTTTT